AATATTAATTATAAACATAATGGTTCCTAACGATTAAACTAAAGAGAGATATAATCAGGGCTGGGTAATATTTAAAATAGTTCCATTTTAAATACATATTTAAAATGGAAATGGCATTTTGCATTTTCCATTTTAAATAGTTTTTTGGAAAACCATTTCCATTTTACATTTGAAATGGAATCATGTCTATCATTTAACCATTTATAAAATAGGTAAATGGTTTTTTTATGTATTCATAAATTTTCCCTTAAGAAGAATCAAGTATCGTGGTTGGTGAGAACACAATTTCTTCTATGACGATGTTGTCTGATACATTTAAAAAACAATTGTTACTCAAAGCAAATAGTGCGTTTATTAAATTAAATAAAACTGTATTACTGTAAAATGTATTTTTTTAAACAAATATTAAAATCTTTTTAGGACTGTATAATGATAAACAACAATAAGAAGAAGGAAGTTAACAGTCAAAGCTGGATCACAATGCTTATTATAATTATGTGCGAATTTTGTATACTGCGTATGTAGTACTCCCATATAAATATTATTTATCATTATACAGTCTTAAAAAGATTTTAATATTTGTTAATACACGTCGATCCTGAAAAAGACGTTATTCCTACTTTAGATAAATATTGCGAAGAATATTACTACGTCGATTCCCTCCCCCATCAGGAGTCTATCGATATTCGTAAAAATTTCTTGCAAATACTGAGATACGCGTATATCTCTATATATAGAATCTCGATTTAATAATTTACACAGGCGTCTAAGGTAGGTTTCCACTACAATACCTTACTGATGAGTCCAATAGTGGAAACCTGGACGAAACACCAAAATTATTAATATTTTTCGCAATACATAAGAATTACAGAATTTTAAATACGAAAATTAAAAATTAACCTTTTCAGATTTTAATATGTCATTCAAAACTATTAAGATCCATGATGCTATGAGCATCAAAAATTGTTAATCAATTAAAGTTCGTGATATTACTGCGGTAGTAAGTATGTATGCGCGCGTCAATGCTGAAAAACTGTCAGCGTCGCGATTTATATGGAGCGACTACATACGCAGTATACGAAATTCACACATAATTATAATAAGCATTATGATCCAGCTTTGACTGTTATTGACTTCCTTCTTCTTGTATTTTCTTTAATTTTTTATAATTATCCCAATAAATTGTGAATTAAACTGTAATATAAAATAGATATTAATTACAAATCCATGAATATCGATTTTTATTAAAAAAATGGATGTTCCAGCATTATGCAAAGTAATTTCCAACATAAAATACTTAAAAATATGTATACCAAGTAAGACCATTTTGCATTTGAAAACCATTTAAAATTCCCATTTACCTATTTTATATTTAAAATGGATTAAAAGAATCTATTTTACATTTTGTATTTTAAATACTCTTTTCAAAAGTATTTTATATTTGGTATTTTAAATAGAATTCGAAAGGCATTTTACCCAGCCCTGGATATAATAACGTTTACTAATTTATTTTAGATAGGTAACCAATTTCGATGGTTCAAATATGTACGCATAGATTAACTCGCAATCTAATGCAGTTCTATTATTTAAATACATTTTTGTGAACAAACGTATTCAGTTAAATATGAGTTCATTTAGATGTTACAGTAAACTTCTTTTTAACTAGTCCAAAAGATAAAATATTCGGAAAATAAATTTGAGTGCATGATAGTTGCAAATGTAATAAATAGTATAGTCAAAATATATGAAAATAGTTAAAATATAAAATTTATAGTTAATAATATAAATTTTTATTGATGTAATCAAGCAAGCTTGCAATCAGATATTGTTATGTGATTAAACTATGTTTAATTTATATGTACAAAATTCATTATACATATTAATAAAAATCTATATTATTAACTACAATACAAATTTTATATTTTGACTTTTCATATATTCTGACTATTATTCATTAGTAATTTTCTTATTTTGATATTATTCATTACACTTGTAACTATCCAAATTTATTTTCCGAAAATTTTTTATATTTTGTATTAGTTAAAAAGAATCTTAATTAAAAAGAATCTACTTAAAAAAAACATCTAAACATTTAAATAACAGGAATTACTGCATTGGATTGCGAGTTAATCTATGCGCACATATTTGAACCATTGAAATCGCGGTCATCTAAAATAAAAGTCGTTATGGTATATATAGTGGAGTGCAATTAGACAAAAAACGGCTATTATTAAGGAATAATTCCACGCAGCATGAATTTCAATGAAACCTTTTGGATTATCTTCTAATTGGTATTAGAAAAAAAGTTTACCTCTTTAAAATGTGCTCTTTTTAAAAATTGTTAAAAAAATTTGCAAAAAGTGAATTTTTTCACATTTTTACGGTAACAATTCAATATCTCGAGAAGTTAATCAAATTTATCATTGAAAATGTGTGTCCTTATGTTTTTGGGGTCGCTAAAAACGAATTTGATATTATTTTTTCAAAATTCAAAATTGCGGATGCGTAATGACAGTTGCAAGCATGAAAATAATGTTTCTTTGACAATAATATTGCAGTATTTTGTCGTAATCGCATAAGGCAATTATAATTGAAATAAATGGGAGAAAAACATATTGCGTTGTTGTTGTTGATAAAAATTTATTATAATTATTATTATTATCAAATAAACAATCGTGAATTATAAGGCTATAAAGAGTCAAACGCAGTTGAACATGCGAAAAATTAATTTAATCTTACAATTAAAAATACAGTCGAACGTTTCGGTCTGTGATTTAGACCATCTTCAGCGACCAAGTGATAATAAATACAAAGCTCCATATACTCCAAGTTATAATGCCAATTGAAAAACAATTATTGTTAATTAACAAAATGTTTCCGTGCACCAACCAGAGGTAAAAGCATCGTGTGAAGATGTGTAGCAACATTTTTTAAAAAACAGTAATATGTCTGTAAAAAGACAGTTAATAACATATATTATTCTATTAAAAATTACCCAGAGAAAATTAAAATAAAAAATTTTTTAATATTTAAACACTCACCCTTGTTGGTAGACAAAAACATAATTACACAATTTAAATTCATAATTCCATAAATTTAGACTGACTAAACATATATGTGACCGTATTCATCAGAAGGAAACGATACAATGAGGAACGTTAAATTATTGACAACAAAATAAATTAAAAATAAATGATTAGGTCAAATCATACTGTTGTCAATTTTTCTAAAATATCTATCTATGTACGACCGATCAAGACCTTCTGTGTCAGTTTTTAAATTTAAACCATTGTTTTGAGATTTTATATGTAACATTTCAGAAATTAATCGCTTGTGATAAAAACTTTCATCATCCAAAACTTCCACATTATTCCAATCAAAATCATGACCATGCTGCAACCTATGTTCAGTGATTACAGATCTAAAGGATGTATTTCTCCGTATATGACTACGATGTTCGTTAACTCTTGTTTTCAGCATTCTCTTTGTCTATCCAACATAAGTAGCATCACAGTCACCACACTGAATGTTATATACAACGTAGTTTATATGACAAGATCCAACTTAAAATTGAATTCATAAAGTTTTGTATTAGACATGACATTATACCAACACATTTGAACAATATTGTTAAATTTAATATACATCTAAACGGTTCTAAATCTATTATTATTTTTAATAATTCAAAAGTTATGTTTGTAAGGAAAATATTAAAGTTAGAACTTAAAGACGCTTTTAGATGTAGAACTAAGTTACAAAATGAAATTTTCCATATAATGTGTAGGATCGAGAACAGTCTTCCTGTGTATTTATGTAATAAATTGTTCCGTTTACAAAATAAAAAATTAATCAAGGAATATAAGAAAAATAGATATAAAATGATTAGGAAAATGAGTATGTTAAAGAATACAAAGGATTGTAGCTTCAGAAATAAAATTAAAGATATCAGATATTTTTGGAATTATAATAATGGGATTGACAATTCTAATGATGACTTTAAACATTTTTCATACACTTTTAATAAATTGATCAATTATAAGGAAGTTTGTATAAATCCAACAGAATTTAATATTAGTTGTTTAGATTTCGCGCCTTGTTTTAATTTTCTTGGCGCCAGCATGCATTGTATTACGTTTAGAGTCGATGGCGCTAGATGTATGGCGCTTAGAGCGGGCGGCGCTGATGCACACAGATTGTCGGTGGCGCTAGATTATCGTTTAGTCAGTTAAAAAAATTTTAAGTTTTCGTTCGTTAAAGGAGACATGTGCTCTCAGTTTTCTTGTATAAAGGACGCATTCCTGTAGTCATTCAATAAAGGTTATATCATTTTCAACAAGATCAAAAGTTATTAATTTAACGGGGATCGCACGTACGCAAACATTTGATACGAAGAGTGGCATACATGGCAAGACTTACAGTTTGGTTAAGTCGGAACATTTTTTGGTCCTTCGAGTCAGGATATAACGGACACAGGATACAACGAATAACGAACAACGGATACATCGGATATAGAGCTACGGATACACGTTCTAGCAAGCATAACCTTTAACGTGATTACCACATTAAGGTGAAACGTTTAGATACTTTGAGAAATACAGTAAGGCAAATAAGATACACCATTAAGGTTACTATAGAAGTCAGTGTCATTACGAGGCATTTTCAGAAATAATACACAATGGCTGAAAACGAGTTGAGCAAGTTAAAGAAGCGTCGCGGTCTAGTTAAAGCATCTCTCACGAGATTTAAAACTTTCTTAGACGATTATGTACACGATCGCGATTATTATGTCTTAAAGGTTCGTCTTGAAAGGGCAAATCTTCTGCTCGCAGAATTTGAAGAAGTGCATATGGCAATCGAATTAGCTGAAAATGCCAATGATGACGCATCTAGACAACTATTTGAGGATAGTTATTACGAGACCATAGCCAAGGGCGCAAAACCAATTAGATTCTGGAAGAAACAGTGTAGCTTCGACCATTGATGCTCAGCATAATACAGATATGCAAGCAATGCAGACTCAATTATCAAACTTAACGTCAAATAACAGTAGTATTAAGCTTCCCACTATAAACTTGTCGAAATTTGATGGCAAATACGAGGAGTGGTTAAGTTTTGAAGACACATTCAATGCCTTAGTTCACAGTAACGTAAAAATTCAGACAGTACAAAAGTTCAATTATTTGAAATCACACATGCTTGGTGGGCAACGCAGCTCACATTATTCAGTCATTAACTTCAACTGCAGAGAATTATGAAATCGCATGGAACTTATTAAAAGAGAGATATAGCAATAAACGCATTATCATTCAAAATCACGTTAGAGCATTATTCGATTTGCAAGTTGTAACTAAAGAGTCTTCACTGGGTTTGAGTACTTTGATCGACACTGCACTTAAACACATACATTCTTTGCAGGCTTTAGAGCAGCCAGTGATTGGCTGGGATGCATTACTCTTACATTTGATAGGTTCAAAGGTAGACAAGAAAACACAGATGGAATGGGAGAAATCTCTAGATGGCTCAGAGATGCCCACATTAGAACAATACTTAAAATTCTTGCGTAATAGATGTCATGTTTTAGAAGCGATACCCAAGGATGCTGCGAATGCAGCGAATCAAAAGCAATTAAATGCGAATAAGCTAACATCAAGCAGACGTTACTTGAAACACAGAGTAAGGTTAAGTGTCATGTTTGTGGAAAGAATCACAACATACAAAACTGCGAAGAGTTCCAGGCTATGAGTCAAGGTAAGAAATCAGATGCTATAAAGAAGGCAGGTTTGTGCTTTAATTGTTTCAGAGCAAATCACAAGGTTTCCGCATGTAAAGCAAGTAGTTGCAGGAAGTGTGATCGTAGGCATCATACTTTATTACACCCGCTTAATTCAAAGGATACTCATACAGCAAGCGGAGAAAATGCTTATCAGGAAGAGCAAAACAAGACTCAAGATTCTAAACCAGTTAGTCAGATTTTAAGCTCACAATTGAGTGACACTTCACACATTTTATTATCTACAGCCGTAGTAGATATCGCTGATGTTACAGGAAAATTCCACTCATGTAGAGTAGTTTTAGATTCGGGATCTCAATCGAATTTTATTGCGGAACAATGTTGTGATAAGTTGAAATTATTCAAAACCAATGTAAATGTTCCCGTCAAGGGAATTGGAGAAACACTTTCACAAATTAAGTTGTCGACAAATGTTATCGTCAAATCCAGAATTGATGCATTCACACTTAAGCTGAATTGTTTAGTTATTCGTAAGTTAACAGATTTTTTACCGTCAAGGACAATTGATCGTGAATCACTTGGCATTCCTAAAAATGTAAGGTTAGCACATCCTGGATTTGATCGACCGTCGCATATTGATATGCTTATTGGCGCTAAATACTTCTATCAGTTACTATGTATAGGACAGATTAAATTAAATTCTTGTTCAACTATGTTACAAAAAACAAAGTTCGGTTGGATAGTTTCTGGCAAGATTAAATCTCTTGAACCTCTAACAACTAGTTTATGCCATATCTCTCGAGGTACACTGGACGATGCTGTGCAAAGATTCTGGGAAATAGAAGAGCTACCAGCTAAACGGATATTATCACCGGAAGATGAGAAATGTGAACAACATTATAAGGAAACTTTCAAGAGATTATCTTCTGGACGTTTTTCAGTAAGATTACCTTTCAATAATCAAAGGAAGAAATTAGGCGAGTCATATGAGATAGCGTTAAGACGATTGCTAAGTTTAGAAAGAAGATTAAACGCAAGGCCTGAATTATACGAGGATTACCGAAGTTTCCTTCGGGAATATGAAGCTCTTGGACACATGACTGAGGTCAAGGAAGTAAACAAGAAAGAAGGATATTTTCTTCCTCATCATTCTGTTATAAAGGAATCCAGTACTACAACCAGACTCAGAGTAGTTTTTAACGCGTCAGCTAAAACCACTAGTGGCGTCTCATTGAATGACATATTATTTAGTGGTCCAACAGTTCAACAGGACCTTCTGTCTATTGTGCTAAGATTTCGTTTGCACTATATAGTTTTTACAGCAGACATTCAGAAGATGTACAGACAAGTACTCATACATCCAGAAGATCGTTTACATCAGAGGATCTTGTGGAGAAATAATTCTCAAGAAATCATTCGAAGTTATGAGCTCAACACGATAACGTATGGATTGTC